AATATTTTAATTTAAATCCTCATTACGCTATGCATAGATTTTGTTTCATTTCTAAAAGGTCAGATTTTGACAGAATTTCAAAATATTAAAAAATTCGTAATTTTCTGAAAAAAGTATGATTTTGAAAAAGGAATGCATAGCTATCTTTTCAAAGTTGGCTTTGATCGAAATCCGTCGAAAAATCGCGTTTCCTTTAGCATTTAAAGAAACCGGAAGTGCGCCCGATATCTATTGGAAGTTACCCTATCAGCGCGTGCGCAATTATTTACACTACCAGCGCACTTCGGTAAGATCAAACAAAGCCACACGGAGTTAGTTTTTCTCTTTCTATTGCTCTTATTTTTCTGTCTTTATCTTATTTTGTCTCTGCTTGTACAATTCTAATTTGCATTTTGTGAAGCACAAAGAAAAACATCTATAATGTAAGTGAATTTGGAAGTTACTGAGTTGTTTTATTTTCCGCGCTCAGGCTGACGTGAGTAACCGGAAGGGAAATTTCACTTCCTTAGCAACGCGCGCGAGCGCGCGCACAAAATCGGTTAATGGGCCCTTAATTAGTGGGAACGGGCTTCTTTATTGGGATAGGGTGCTGTATACCATCCCCGTCTTATTCGCGTTTTTTGCAATCCGATCCCTACCCCCTCCCCGTTTACTCCTGAAACCGTAGGCTTACGCAAATCCGTTAGTGCTGCTATTATGTCACTCTGTACCGTTGTCGCAGTGTTGCGCCTTTTTTGTGACGAGAAATATGTTCAGTTGTGAAAGACCTTTAGAGGAAGGGAGCTTTTTTACATCAATGAAGGTCTTTGGTTTATTATATGCGAAACAAAAATAGCCTGCGAACAGGCTCCCGGCGAGGACGGAAAAAAATTTCGGCGAGCGCGAAACAGAAGAATTCGCAGAGCAAAGCGATCGGGGCGGGGACGGGTTCACCGGGAGCCTGTTCGCAGGGTAAATAAAAATATCTTGCTACATAAGATCCCTGGCTACCCACAGGCAGACTACCCTATGTGTTCGTGGTGAATAATTGTTTACTGGTATATGAAACGAACAGAAGCTACGAGGGTTATGAATAAAGCTCTGAAAATTGCATCTCAGTCTGAATTTTCCAATAAAGTGAAATGAATCGCAACGTTCATCGACTCATATGTGGTGTTTTTTTGCCTTCCTGGGCTGTCTGACGCGTTTTTTTTTTTCTTAAGAAATTACTTTTGGTCGGTGACCGGTAAGACTTGAAAGTAATGTTTAAAAAAAAAAAAACGTCTCAGACGGCCCGGGAATACGAAAAAACACCACACGAGTCGATTAACGTTTCATTTAACTTTCTTGGAAAATTTGCGCGATTGCTTTCCGGTGATTTTCCGAAGCATGCTAAAATATCCCGAGCAAAAAAATAACAAAAATAAATAAAAATAATAAAAATAAAAATATCCCGAGCTAGCTCTACAATAACAATAAAATATATGCATTTTGGGCAGAAGCAGGAATGCTTTCACATTTGAGAGTTCAAACTGGTACTGAACAGTAAGGAATGGAGGTTTCCTAAACCTTTACTATAACTGTGTTATTGAAACATGCAAATCTAGTAGCTATTTTCAGAGTTGTTGAGTGATCTGTAACTGCCTTAAAGTTTCATGATTTAAATCATTCGTAGAAAGTCTTTCAAACTGAACATGTTACAGGAAAATCATGAAGTAAATGCGGTGTTTCAAAAGTAAGTTAAGACGGACAAACTGAACATATTACATGAAAGTCATGAAGTGAATGCAGTGTTTCAAAAGTAAGTTAAGACGGACAAATCTTCAGACAGAATAGCTTTTTAATTATATCTCGAGTTTAAATATACAACTGAACAGTTGTGAAATAATCTTTGGATGTTGTCCTTCAGTAGCATTTTAAATGAAAATGGTAAAAGTTCAATTGAGGCCTTACACTACTGTAAAATGATATGAAAATCGTTTAAAAAATCCAAGCTTTCGCCGATCTACGGCATCATCAGAGATAATGATGCCGTAGATCCCTGATGATGCCGTAGATCGGCGAAAGCTTGGATTTTTCAAACGATTTTAATATCATTTTACAGTAGTGTAAGGCCTCAATTGAACTATTACCATTTTCAGTTGAGAAATAGTTTGAAGACTTAGGCCCGTTCCAAACGCCGCTCCATTCATACGCCGAACCTAACTGATGAGTTAAGTACGGCAGAAGAGCGGCGTTTGAATCAGTTTGGTTCGGCAGGGTCTGTCGCACCATGCGACGGAGCGGCAGCTGATTCATACGGCGTTCTCCTCATGTGTCGCACCTATTGCATAAATTACTGTAATGTATTTTGGATATTTCCTATCAATATGTTTATTACACATATTGATACTTCCTATCAATATGTGTAATAAACTATTTGATTTGATACTCTATTTCAACCCATACTTTTATACGGATCCGAAACCTGGGGAGCATATGATAGCATAAACCTCAAAAAATGGGAAAAAGGCCCCGTGGAAAGACTTCATACACTGTTTTACAAATATTACCTCGGCCTCAACAGAAGAGCACCAAATATTGCTGCTCGAAACGAAACAGGACGATTGTCATTAAAATTTAATATTCTTCCAAGAATTATTAAATTTTGGCTACATCTTGTCTCTCTCCCAGAAG